TAATTATTTTTAGTTTTCACTAATATATAAGTGTGATGAATCTAAATCAATGAACAAATAATTAATGTGATTGCAATAAACTTTCAATTTCAGCATTCGATTCAGCATATTTGTGAGATGAATCAACTATGATTTAACAATTCATGGGAGTACCCCTTCTTCAGCTTGTCTTTTGGTTTCAGAGATAGCACAAAGGAGACTTTTAAAAATTAAAATATACATTACGTATGTCTAAATGTTAATGTTAAACTGCAGTTCAAGCCCCTGCCCCAGCCCATTTTAATGCAAACAATATTTTTGGGAAGGTAGACTAAAATTGGAGAAATGATGGAAAGTTTAGATTATATGTTGTTCTTTCCATACAGTTCTATACTTCAGATGAGTATTTAACTGTCTGGAAGTGGCAGAAAGATCCAGAGAGGCAATCTGGAGCAGGAAACCGCAGGTAAGGAAAGGGTTAAGCATCTTCTTCTGCTTTCCGCTTTTTGTTCCCCAAATTTTCCAACATGCATAGACTGTATGTTTATGCATGAGAGAGAAAGTGAGACCAATTTCAGGCTAGTATTATTTTTCTGTATGTACAGTATAACGTGCTTTTGGCCACTTGAAAAGCCAAATACATCTGTCTGCTGTCCAATAAGGTTGCTGACTCATATAACCTTTGCAATTGCTTTACCCGGAGGGAAATTTACGTAAAGGAAAGCACAACCAGCTTTGGGGTATATTAAGAACAACCTGTCTTTCTTTCCTTTCCATTTTCACCCCACCATCACCATCAATACCACCATCATCTTTTTAGTGTCCCCCTTTCTCTTCAGCTCACACACACCACAAACCATAAACGAGGCAAGTGTGATCTAGCCTGCTTAACTGCAAAACAGAGGCCAACATTTCCACTTCCTATCTTCAGTGGTTTTCTCTCAAAGCCTTCTGAAGACTTTTTAAGACCTGCTTCCTTCCTCCCACTTGCTCTCTACCCCCCCCCCAAGGCCAGTTTGTGAGTGGTCAGTGCCAGAAAGATACAATGCTTTCAGTTGCTTATACAGTATTAATAAAAGTATTATTATTGCTTCTCATAGATTTTTGACATACACTGCTGCTTAGAGGGTTAGTTACAGCAGGCATTACCAACCCCGGGGCCACAGACCAGTACCACTTGTGGCACGTTAGGAACTGGGCTGCACAGCTGGAGGTGAGTGGTGGGCAAGCGAGCAAAACTGAAACCACCACCCCCCAGTCCATGGAAAAATTGTCTTCCACAAAACTGGTCTCTGGTGCCACAAAGATTAGGAGCTGTTGTCTTAGAACAAGGATTTTCAACCTTTTCATCCATTGTACCATTTTTAGGATATGGCAACATCCGAATACCACCAATCGCCTAGCAAGTTGTCAAAAACTTGATGACCAAAAAAAAAAGGAAAAAAGTGATAAAGTACAGGTAGTCCTCGACTTACAACAGTTTGCCTAGTGACTGTTTGAAGTTACAATGGCACTGAAAAGAGTGCCCCCCAAGCCACAGCCGAGCAAGACAGCGCCCGGCGGTGCTTTTCCTCCTGTCCAAGGTTTTCATTGTTGTGAGCATTTCTGTTGAAGATTGGCAGCAGGGGTGGGGTGGGGGGAGGGTGTTTGGTTTTTATTCCCCCCGTGTGCTGGGTGGTTACAGCAGATTTGGGTCACTTCACATGACCGTGGGACACTGTGACTATCATAAATATGAATCAGTTGCCAAGCATCTGAATGTAAATCACAAGACCCTGGAGATGCTGCAAATTCCAGCTGATCAGTGCTTCTTCTGGGCTTAGCAGAAGTGCCAGGATCAGTGCTGCTTTCCAGCTGATTGGTGCTTCTTCAGGGCTCAGCAGAAGCACCAGGATCAGCGCCGAGCTCCAGCTGGAGCCTGGTGCTGATCCTGGTGCTTCCGTTGAGCCCTGACAGCCCTGCAGCTCCAGCCATCTCTTGCTCAGGCTTGTGCGGTGCTGCCACTAGTTCAGCTCATTCCCCTCCCCCACTACTTTTCTAGGATGGTCACATACCACCTGCCAGGTGCCAATGTACCACAGGTGGTACCCGTACCACTGGTTGAAAAGCCCTGTCTTAGGGGACATCTGGCAAAAGTAGGACACGCCCTCTGTCTGCCAGGAATAGCTTTAAAATCAAATATGTTTGAGTATCTAAAATGCTTTCTGTTCCTGAGCAGCTTTTATTTGTTTCTTGATAAATACTAACCACAAGTTAACAAACTCAGTTCTGTGACCTTAATTAATTGGTTAGCATTCTCTGCTGGGTTATACTGCTACCCTGAAATTGACAAGACCTGAATCAGCTTTAGTTCCTCTGTCTAGCACATTCTTGCCATAATAAAAATAATCTTTCTGATACTGGAGAAAATAATTTCATATACATATAGCCTTAAGTACTCTTTTGTTTTTGCTCTCAGTTTTTCAATGGAACTTTTACGTAGATGTCAAGAAAGTTAAGCGGTTTTCCTTTCCAATTCTCCAAGTACTTCTTTTCCTGTTCTGATAGGTCTATTCAGAGCCCCATTGGACAGAAGTAGTACAGAAACTACATCAATCAACCAATCAATCAGACTGGGGTGCCTAGCAATATTAGTTTGTGTTAGTTTCAATTTAAAAAAAAAACATTCAAAGAGTTTTCTTGATGTTCCCATGAGGACAGCAGTCTGGGCAGAATACACTTAGCTTAAGCCCTAAGAGAAGCATAAGTTGTGTAAATTATTGGTTCTCTTTAAAATTCAGCCATTGATTGACCCGTCATATATTCTTGCAACTATGGCTGCTTCGCTGATATGAATCTATTTTTCAAAGTGTTTTTATTTTCTTCACTTATGAAAAATCAGAGAGAAGTGAGAAACCCAGGAAATCCAAGGCAGAAACTCCAGTTCAGGAATAATTCACAAGTACATGATGGCACCTGGAATTCTAGAGCTTTTACAATTGTATTTTTCCAACACCAAATCATAAAATAGTTATAAATTATTCTGTCCCTTATTTTTTAAAAAAAGTTAGAGTGTCATTTGTGAGAATAATCTTAAAAAACGTCAAAGCAGGAAGTATTGGCAGACAGATCTGAGAAATTGATGGGAGGCTAGATGCCCTGTTGAGAGGTCTTTGTCAATTCTTTTTTCTATTTATCCTCAATTACCATTGTGGTGTTTTACACTTTAATAATGTTTTTATTGTTTCAACATATTATTAACTGCCTGGAGTCACATTTGTGAGATTAGGCAGTCATATAACTCAATTAAGCTCTAGAGACCTAGAAGCAAGTGAAACAACATAGAAAGTAATTTAATGGTGACTGGAAGGATTGCTGAAGCTGCTGCTGGACACTGCTGATCACCTTCTCCACCAGTAAGAAAGGGCAGATGAGAGGCATCAGATGTCTGGGTTAAGTGCATAGTGGAGCAATCTCCTCGTTCTTTAAAACTGCCTTGAAGCAGAGGTTAGCCCCTCCTCAATAAGAGAGAGAGAGAGAGAGAGAGAGAGAGAGAGAGAGAGAGAGAATAGGGACAATCACCCAATCTGTCCTCCTTTGCAGGAGCAATGAAACGTGCACTATATTGTAGACCTTTGCCCTTTCTGAACACGGTTGTGAGACTGCAAACATGTATATAAGCTTCTATCACAACATAAAAACACATCTACCATCATTCTAAAGTTCTAGTTTAGTTTCTCTGGGATGTCTATGAGGGACATGGTGTCCACTATATTTATAGGGGAAGCACATCAGCAATTGACACCCATGCAAGACTTACAAGAAAAGAAGCAGATATATTTTTGGTGCCAGTTCTTAGTACTGCAAAGTCCCACTTCACCACCTTCTCTTTTCCTGCTGCTCGTGCTACTCATAAGGGGCAGGAAAAGGGAAGTCCCTCTGCTGCTGCTTCTCCAGTTCTATGAAATTTGGGGAGCTGACCCGCCTCCAAGCTTCTCTCCTCCACTGATTCCAGATGAGCTGTCATTTCAAAGACCTCTTCCCCTACTACCAGCCATGAATCAGAAATGGAAGAGGTGGCCTTTTTGACAAAGGCAGCCTTCAAAATCAGAGGCCAGGAACCAGGAGGTGGTGGTGGGGAGGGAGGGCAAGGTTGGAGGCTTGTCCACAGTAGCCTCAAGTGAGCCCCTACCTCAAATCTACATGAAACAATTCATGACAGACTTCTCAGCCCAGAAAGGCAGGCTGGAGGGGGGAGCCCTTTGGTGATGGAGAAGAAGCTACAGGCTCAGGCTATCTGGATAATGGACCAGGGTTGGGTTGAGAAGGAGGCTATGCATTCAGGTCCTCAGCACATATTTCATGGGAAGCCTTTCTGCTGGGTCGAACAGGACGTGGTGGTGAATCAGGGTAAGATTTATGGAAAGTTGTATCATCAACTTAGGAATGGAGGAGGGTCTGAAATGTAAAACTTTCAGTTTTCTTAAGATAAATTCATTTTTACAGTTAGCGCACAGACCTGCGCTTAAACCCGATTGCCAGGTTTTGAGGCTATCTTTTACAGATGAAAAGTCGTGGTGAGTTGCAGTTACCTCTTAAATTAAAGCAACCTTCGACTCGCCTGGAATGGGCGAAGCGAAGGAAAGCAATAAAAAAAAGTGTTGCGAGATCTTCAACTATAATAGCACATTTCTCCCGCCATCGCTTCCGGAATCCCTTCCTAGGAAAAGGGCTGAGCTGAGCGTGGTTCGTCCAACCTCGTGGGGCTGGTTATCGCTCTGAAAGCTCCCCTCCCTTTTTAAATAAACTTTCAATGTTAATTTTTAATCCATCCTTGACTTTTTAAATTGTAAATTTTATATACTTTGTGTTGTAATGTTTTTACTGTAGAGTCCCTCTGCGAAGTAAACAGGCGGTTTTTAAACATTTGATACCTATATGAACCCACAAACACTCAAATAAACTCCGGTCCTTCATCATTTGAGCGGATGGTCTCGGCGGGGGCGGGGCATCGCCTCGTGGGAGCGTGTCACCGTGGCTGGAACTTTCCCCAGCCCCACGCGGAGGTTGAGGTGCTTGGGGCAGTAAGTAAGAAATCGATCGGGGTTTTCCGTGACCCTCATAAGGGCTGCGTGGGGAAAAGAGGCGTTTCCCGGAACGTTTATAGGAGGAGCGACGCGTCTAGTCGGGCAAAAAGGCTCAGGCGCCGGGTTGCGTGTGGATCTAGCGGCAGCAAGCAGCCTTTGAGTTTGTGGTCTTGGGCCACTTGGCCACTTGGCGCCCGCGCAGACGCCTTCCTCTTAAGTTTTGAGTTTCGCTCCGATCATCATGCAGCGGCCTTCCGTCTTTTTCCTCCTTGCTTTGGGCTCCTGGGCTTTTGGAAAAGGTAAGGGAGCGGTAGTTTTTTTTTCAGAATATACAGTATCTTCCTCCAAACTTTCAGCGCCTAGTTCGGAGAGGAGATCTGTCACCGGTGGAATGTGGGATCTATAGGTTTTGATGAGGGAAATTGCCTCTCTGGGTCCTCTGCCTACAACCCTCTGCTCCCGACCGGTCCGGAAACAGCTGGTTCTGATCAGGAAGATTTTTGTACCCTTCATTCAGGCTGCAGAGTTACTTTATAAGTCTGAGGATTGGCGTTAGAAATGAATACATAGAATGAACTCGGATCAAACCTCAGCGCCGCTTAAGGCTTATCTAAACCGCACACTAGAGAGCTACTTTGATGTAGAAACTGGAGAACTTTGAGTTCTGATTCTGCTTTAGGCATGAAACCAACTGGGTGACTTTGGGCCAGGCATTCTATGGGCTACTAGTTAGGACATTGCCCAAGGGCAAATCCGCAAAACCTTGCCAAGAAAACTGCAGATTTTAGTCCAAACAAGGCACACTCCTGTATACAAACTTCATGTTCACTTATTGCCCTAAAGTTATAATTTTCTTCTTTTCTCTCTACCTATTCCTGGAAAAGAGCAAGAATGGGACTTTTTAATCTTAAAAAATTAGGTGATTCCCCAAATCAGTTTCGGAGACAGCAATTGCAGAGGGTTTGTCCTAAACATTCATTCCCTCTGGTCTTTTAATTCTTTGCCCAACCTGAAGGCTTGATAAATAAGGTTTCTTACTTATCTTCCCTGAACTCTTGCACCTGCAATCAATTTGTTAGAAGGAAACAAACAAGAGGTTTCTCCCATCAACCCTAAAATACTCAGATATTTCCATCTCCTTCCATTTGATCTCCCATGAAAACACGGTGGGTTGAATATTATTTGGTAATCAATCACGTTCTTTGTGGAGGCAGAATACAGATTTTATTGCAGGCTCAGCTGGTTAAAGAACAGTAGGACAATATTTAGATGCTGAAGCCCATACCTTGAGTGCTGGCCAGACATTAGGGAGGACGGGGGAATGACCTATCTTCTCCAACTTGTGTTTTCTTGTAGATGTAAGTTAAATTTGTCTCTTAGAGACACCAGTTAACTGTTGATTCAGAAAATAACACAAAGGGTTGAGAAAGGAGGCTTTGCTGGAGGAGGAACAAACATTCCTCTCTAGAGTTACTCCCTAAATTTACTCTAAATTTATTCACTTTGACAAAGTGAATAAATTAGTGGACCAGCAAAATGCTGTGGACATAATATACTTGGATTTCAGTAAGGCATTTGAAAAGTAGACCACAACCTATTTATTAGTAAATTAGAAAAATGTGGCATAGATAGTATCCCCACCAGATGGATTTGTAATTGACTGACAAACCATACTCAACAAATAGTCCTCAATGGAACTACATCTACATGGAGGGAGGTAAGTAGTGGGATACCCCAAGATTCTGTCTTAGGCCAGTACTTTTCAATATCTTCATAAACAATTTAAATGAGAGAATAGAAGGGGAATGCATCCAATTTGCAGATGACACCAAGCTGGCAGGAATAGCCAACATCCCAGAAGATGGGCTCAAGAGCTATAAGGATCTCGACAGACTTGAACACTGGGCCCTATCTAACAAAATGAAATGAAGTTCAATAGTGAGAAAAATGCACTTTACACTTAGGCAAGAAAAACCAAATGTACAAGTTTAGACTAGATGGAACCTGACTCCATAACAGTAAGTGTGAGAGGCATCTTGAAATCCTAGTGGACAGTCACTTAAAGATGAGCCAGCCGTGTGTGTCAGCAGCCAAAAAAAGTCAAAGCAGACCCAGGGAGAGAATCCAGATCACGTGAAGTATTAGTACCGCTTTATAAGGCCTTAGTAAGACCACACTTGGAATATTGCATCCAGTTTTGGTTACCATATTATAAAAAAAAAGATGTTGAGACTCTGGAGTGCAGAGAAGAGCAGCAAAGATGATAAGGGAGCTGGAGGGTTAAATATATGAAGAACGGTGGCAGCAATTGGGTATGTCTAGTTCAGGGGTAGGCAGCCTTGGCTCTTTTATGACTCGTGGACTTCAACTCCTAGAATTCCTGAGCCAGCCATTCTAGGAGTTGAAGTCCACGAGTCATAAAAGCCAAGATTGCCTACCCCTGGTAGTTTAATGAAAAGAAGGACTAGGTGTGACATGATAGCAGTGTTCCAATAGCTGCCACAAAGAAGAATGGGTCAACCTATTCTCCAAAGCAACAAAAGACAGGACAAGAAGCAATGGATGAAAAGTAATCAATGAGAGAAACAACCTAGAAGAAGAAATTCCTTGACAGTGAGATTTAGACAGAGTGACTTAGTTTAGAAAAATATGAAAAATGTAGGGTTAACTTTTCCATCCGCAGTTGCGTAAGAATTCTGGAGAATTCCTATGAAACACAGCTACCAAAACCCACCCAGCTTGTTGTCTCTGCTGAAATGCATTTCAGTTGCATGTTGGTCGCTTTTTATTCCCTTGGCAAGATTATTCAGATAGGAGAGTGCCAAAAGTCTCCTTCTCAAGTTGCAACATAGATAAGACATCTAGCAGCCCCTCCCATGTTGATTCAAGATGATCTGTGAGCTTAGGGGGGGGGACAACAATAAAGCATAGAATTGCAGCCCAATAACTCAAGGGTTTCTTTAAATGGACATTCTTCAGTTGTGCAATTTCTGGAAAGGAGCTATATTTCTTTTAACACAGGCAGGAAAAGGAGTGGCAATTAATCCTAGACAGACAGGTACCTTATCATTATGCAAAGCGAAAAAGAAGCCTTGAAGCTCCTGAGTCACATCTGAACACAAGCAGTGAAGTAATTCAGTGATTGTGACTCTCTAAGTATCACCAAAGGCAATGCCTCCAAAATTTACAGGAACAGATTTCCACATTCTGTAGGCTACAACCTTTTTTGCTGAACTATCAGAACTGCTTTCTCCAATCTGCCACACTCAGAGGTGTTGAGACTGCCAGAATTCCCAGTCAGAACAATGGTACATTTAAAAAAGGAGTAAAGCTTTGATCGCGTGGCCAAGGTTGCCATCTTTACTTTTTGGCACCGCACTCCCACCCCCATGGAGATTTCTGCTGAAGCATTCAAGAGTGCAGGGACTGTGCTAGATGAACTAATGAAAAACACTTGTGAAGATTACAGCAATATTTTTAGTGGCTAGAGAAGAAAGTTCAGGGATAGAGGGATTTCTCAGATTCCAAAGCAATCTGGACTTATTCAAATTCAGTCTATTTTCCCCTTATTTTGGAGATGTGTCAGAGGAAATGGAAAGTTTTGGATTAAAAGTGTCTCTGCTTTTGGAATATCAATAGTGCAACAGCAAGGACTGAAATTTCTGAAGTTCACTTCTTTGGGAAGGCAGATCTCTTCCTTAGTTTGATCTTTCCCCCTACACATTGTCCTCCCAAGAGGAGTATAATTCCTCCCTAATAAAGCAGTTAGAACAAATATTGAATGGTTTCCTGCAATTTTACCAGTCTTTGGAAATGAGACATAACTTGGTATTGATCAAAGAACTGGGTTCCTGATATTCATAATAAAGAAAAGGCAGGAAATATATAGCTCTTCCTTCTCATTAGGTGGCCAAAGTACTTGAGTTTCAACTTCAGGATCTGGCCTTCTAAAGAGCAGTCGGGGTTGATCTCTTTGGCCACCTAATGAGAAGGAAGGACTCACTGGAGAAGAGCCTGATGCTGGAAAAGATTGAGGGCAATAGAAGAAGGGGACGACAGAGAATGAGATGTCTGGATGGAGTCACTGAAGCAGTAGGTGTGAATTTAAATGGACTCCAGAAGATGGTAGAGGACAGGAAGACCTGGAGGAACGTTGTCCATGGGGTCGCGATGGGTCGGACACAACTTCGCAGTTAACAACAAATATAGCTCTTAGTTATGGAAAGATATGCTATGTCCTAATTCCTGCTCAGAATTGGGACAGCAACTAAGTAACGTTAAGAGAGAATTGTTTTGTCAACACAGTGACCTCTCATATTCATAAGGGGCATATGATGGCCATTGCGCATGTCCCCTTCTCTCTAATCCATTATTTCTCAATCTTGACCACTTTAAGAAGTGGACTTCAATTCCCAGAATTTGCGGAGTTGAAGTCCACACATCTTAAAGTAGCTAACGTTGAGAGATGCTGCTCAATCTCTTGGGGCTGACTGGGCAAAAGTGGCATTTTTGAAGATAAGAGACTTGTCTTTGTTTCACGATCTCATCAAATCCAGGAGAACTATTCATTTACAACACTCAGAAGTCTAATTGACCTTAACAGACAGACTTGAATAACATAACTTTTATTGCCTGCTTTATTCAGCCACATTCGCTAATGCCTGTTATTTATGTTTTTATATTTATATGGCTGCACATAATGCCAAAGTGATTCTGGATGGTGAATACAGTTAATACTAGAAAATTAAATCTCATTGCTTTTAAGCCCTTTCCATTCTTTTTATAACTGTATTTTTATGCAAGTTGTATTTTTTTTTTTTTTAATTTGAGGATTCGCAGAGGAAGACTTTGTGAGAATTTGGCCGGAAAATCCTGTGGTGCAATTTGGAAGTTCGCTTCAGATAAACTGCAGCGCCAATACGGAAGCAGAAGCGATTGGCCTTGAATCACCCTTCAAAAGGGAAATCATTGGAATTGGATCCAATTGGAAAGCCTTCCGTGTCTCCAACATCAGGGACTGGAAAAGTAGCCTCTTGTGCTATACTAAGGAAGGCTCAGGAAAATCTGCAAAAGCAACCATTACTACTTACAGTAAGTCACATGATGACTGTAACAGCAGATGAAAAAATATTGGGCATCTAAATTCAACAGGAAGCCACAAAAGAGTCCCTTAGTCCGGTAGAATCAGTCCTTAGCACTGTTGGCTGAAGTGGTCAAATAACCAAGTAATGGACAACAGAAACTGGAATAAAAGCAATTAACAAAGTTTTATTGAACAATCTGGGATACTTATGCAGGAGAGTTTTGTTCTCCCCCAGCTGCAATTGATGTATTTCCTTTATCAAAATTACATAGCTACCCATCCCACTAAAAGTGGGAGCAGCATACCACAAAGTTAAAACAGTGAAGCAATACATGAAGCTGGTATGCAGGGCAGCAGGAAGGGCCCACCATGGCAAGCCACCCAGAAGGGGAGGCTTTCTTAGGCAACATTTTTAACTCTTCAACATTTCTCTCCTCTCTTCCCCTGGACTCCTTTTGGGAAAATAAGACAGGTCACAATTGCATAGTTTACAGTGTTTAGGGGAAAATAAGTGAAGAGAATATGTGATCAAGTGTTGGGGAATTGACAGAGGAAAGCTATATTTTGGTAAGGATTAGCTACATTAATTCCTAGGAAGAATGCAGGCACCTAGCTAAGGCAAAAGATGGAAATAATTATCTAACTAGGCGAGCAAATAGAAGTAGAATATTCAGATGGCAAGAGACAAGATATTTCTTTGGAGAAAGCTAGGGCGTACCATCCACTATCCCTTATAAATATATAGAGATCTAAGTTTTACTTAGAATATACAGGAAAATATATGTATTTTCCAAGCTGGAGAATATGTACTTAGGCATAGAGAACTTAATTGCCATAGAATAAATAACAGAAGAGCCATGTTATTGCTAGTTCATCACTTCTAGCAGATGCTAATCAAACTAAATTGATTCAGAACATTTTATTTCATTTCAGAATCTCCAGACAGTGTTGAGCTGGATCCAGTACCACAAATGGAAGTGGGAAAGCTGTATAACTTGACATGCCGGGTTTCTGGTGTAGCTCCCATCCGGAACCTCACCATAACCTTGCTGAAAGGGGAAGAGCAACTTCTGGTAGAGACTTTTGAAAAGGACAAAGCTGGTCCTCTTGTGGTGAACCATGGCATTAGAGCTCAGCAAAATGACTACAACAAGACAATCACCTGCCAAACATCCCTGGATCTGAGACCAAGAGGACCACTCCTAAAAAATACTTCCCACGGCATATCATTATGGACTTTTGGTGAGATCCCATCCATTGCCCCGGTTCTGAATTAGACATACTGCACCCTGTGGCTAGACAATGCTAAATCTCCGGGTGAGGGGTGAGAAAAAAGTTGGTCTGTTTTGATTTTTGTTTGCATGGATTTGATGTCCTCTGCAGTTGCCCTACCGCTCACCTCCTGAGAGGCTAGGGAGAGAATACTATTGTGGCTGTGATTTCTTTTGCGATAACTGATATGATTTCTCTTACTTCATTGGCAGATTTTGCAAAGGCTCCCCTGCTCCATGCTGGCCTGTTCTTAGAAGCTGGGACCGTGATGGAAGTGATGTGTGATGCGCCTGAGGCTTCCCCAGCTGATGAAGTCATGTTTGATCTGTGGTTTGCAGGGGAACCTTTGACCTACAGCTCCGTCAATGGGAAAAAAGTCGCAATACATCACAATACGTCACGTGATGTGGAGAGTTTGACACCCATGTTCTACAGCATCAGTGTGATGGGGGGCTTGGCAAGTGCCCAGGCTGTGATAGCCTCTTCCTCAGTTGGAGATCAAGAGTTGATCTGCAAGGTCTCTCTGGGGCCAGTGACCAAAACCGTGACGAAGATGGTGAATGTGTTTGGTGAGTCTCCTATCTGTAATTACTAACACAGACAGATTTAGAAGAGTTTTCTTCCATCTATTTGAACAAACCTAGAAGAGGTTAGAAGTTAGATTGATTTTATTTTGAAAAGCAAAACTTTAGTAATGGATTGGATCAGTCTAAGTAGCTTGAGAGAGAGAGAGAGAGAGAGAGAGAGAGAGAGAGAGAGAGCCCTTTGAAACCAATGGAACAGATCTATCTATCTGTTCTATTTTCATTGAGATCCAATACAACTATTTTAGGATGAACCAAAAAATATTCTTATTTAGGTTAAATATATACAGAGCTTAGATCTGACATAAAGCCATTAGACATAAAGGCCATTACAAGTTATGATTGATTTGTTTTTACTGTATTGCATTTTGACTTGCAATATTTATTTAAAGAGGTCCACATGTCTTAACCAAATAGAGAATGCAGAAATTGAAGAAAACAGCCACTTTCATCCATTTCACTTCTTTGGAACATCTGGTATCCAGCTGTTCCAAATGTGCTACTTCTAAAATATGGCCTCTAGCCAGGTTTCATACAAGAACTCTGAGATAAATGTGGACTGAGAGAGAGTGTGAAGGTGAAAGTCCTTCACTAAGCCTCTATGATTGTAGATGGACTTGAACTTGGGGTTCCTCTATCCTAGTCCTTAATCGCAGTTTTAATATCTAGGACAGGAGGGGGAGACATAACCTTTAGCCAGCATTTGTTTTAACAGTTTTCATTAACCATTTTATAACCATCTAAGTCCATTATCACTGCTCTGCTCTATTCCCTCACAGCTTTACCAAAGCCCATCTTGCAAATTGGCAGATCAGAAATCGCCGTTGGTCAAACGGTGAACATTACATGTAGTGCGGATGGTAGTGCTTCCCCTGGTTTTAAAATGCAGATCAGGAATGCTACCAAAATATTAGCATCCGGCAACGTAGATCAAGTTTTCTTGCAGCATGCAGTGATCGCTCAACAAGAGGATAATGGGAGGGAATTCATCTGCCAAGTCATCCTGACTGTTGATGGGCACACCAAGGAAAGAAACATATCTCAAAATCTCACTGTCTTCTGTGAGTAGGAAAAAAAATACACTTCATGTTTTATTCCTAGAGATTCAGTAATCTTTACTTCAAATAGTGTGCCAACAAATTTTGCAGCTAGGACAGTGATGGCGAACCTTTTAGAGACCGAGTGCCCTAACTGCAACCCAAAACCCACTTAAGTATCGTTGGGTGCTGGGTGGGGTGGCCCATTAGGTGGGCGTGGCCCATTGGGTGGATGTGGCTACAGTAATAACGACAGACTGGGTGGGACTGGGTGGGACTAAAAAGTTCAATTCCAACTTTGCGAGATTTTTTTTTTCCCGCGAGAAGTTGAAATTGATTGAACCTTTTTTTGTTGCACACGGTGGCAGAGGCCTAAAGCAAAAAGGTTTTATAAAACCCAGCTGAAGGCCTAGGACTGGGGCAATGGCATGCGTGCCCACAGAGAGGGCTCTGCATCCCACCTGTGGCACTGCGTGCCATAGGTTCGCCACCACGGAGCTAGGATAAATTTTGGAAATTGGGTGCCATTGCATACTTTTATGTAATCCCAGGGCTCTGCATCCTAGAAGAGGGAGGGAAATAGGATCATATGAGTAGTTGCTTCTATCACCCAGTGGTTCCTTTCCTATAGGAACTCACACTGTGTTCTTCTCCTTCTAATTATTGATGTGCTGGGAAATTATTGTTTATTTGTTAAATTTATATCGTTACTTCTCTTAGTTCTGTGACTCTGGGTGGTTATATAGATTTAACAAATAGATAAAAAATTCAGTATAACTGAGTAATAAAATTACAACAAGAAAAATCATTAAAAACAATAAAAATCACTAAAAATACATGAAAGAGCACACTCAGTTTCTCTAACAATACAGTTACTTTAATAGCTCCATATCCCTCTTCCCAAATCCCCAGGCCAGATAGCAGAGCCCTGTCTTCAGGCCCTTCCGGAAGGCCAACAAGTTTGGGGTCAGTCTGGCCTCAGAAAGGAGTTTCAAAGCAAATGGACCTCCCACCTAATTTCTGAAGATGCAAGTTTATTGTTGCAATTAGAGTTACAGAATATGTACATTAGTTTTTGAGTTTAATTATGGGGAACCTGATATCATTCCCATGAACTAGGTAGGAAACCCAATGCAAGGCTGGCTGACAAAGTGGCAAATGGATTAGTAGGTTGGTGCCATCAGGAGAATTAATCTCTGACATCCAAAGCAATATGTCCCATTGGGGTAGTTATGCTTTTAAACTTCAGTAATACATTTTCTGATATTTATTTATTTATTTATTTGTTTGATTTTCCTCAGTACTCTTGGAAATATTTATATCCCTTTAAGTTGAGAACATAACGGGGGTAAGTACCTCCAAGAGTACTGAGGGAAATCAGAAAATGTATCACAAACTAGTAATACATTTTCTGATTTTCCTCAATACTCTTGGAAGTACTTATACTCCTTTATATTCTCAACCTATCTGGTTATTTAAATCTATTAAGGCTGTATGAAGAAGAGTTACTTGCTTCGGTGATGTGTTTCAGGCTTCGGCTGTGGTATACTATACTTTGACTTCCTTGATGCATGGGGTCTTATATTTGCACAAAATGAATCCGTTCTTTCATGAGTCAATCAGGAATAGAGGTAGTCTTTGACTTACGGCCAAAATGGAGCATAGGTTGTTGTGGTCATTAAGAGAGGCACCCATGTGACTGTCTTGCTCAATAACTACATTCCCAGCTTTTCCCATTATGGTCATTAAGAAGAGTGTGGCCTGTCTCAGGTTGTGGGAGAGGCCTTATGCAAGCCCAGGCCCATATTGCAGTACCGCTCAGCTCAGACATGGCCTACCCCCTGAGACACACTTGCACCCACAGATCCTACAGTCTACGATCTGTTTTCCATCCTTCCATCTCTCAGGCCTTGGGCTTCCTCTCTGCCCTGTCACATCTTGATCCACTTACCTCTTCTGAAGAACTCCTTTTTGAAAGAACACCCAATTGATGTGAGGCAAAGGCTGCCTGTTGCCTTTCTGGAAATGCTGCTATTGTTGCGATCTCTCAGAAGGGTGTGATTTTCCAAACGGTGCAAGGCAGTCTCCATAGGAAGGGCACATGTTGTATTGGCTGCGCACTCTTTTAGAAAAAGCAGTCTTTGGAAGAGATAAGTGAAGCAAGGTGTGATGGGACAGAAAGCAGACCCAAGGCTTCTGGGCGGGATGTGGGGAGGAAGGCAGGCAGATGGGAGTAAGTTGCAGTGTTCCTGGTTATAAGGACTGGTGGACTGCCAGGCACCCAAATTTTTATTACATGACCACAAGGGCCCTGCAAAGCCCATAACTGGATACAAATTGTATGTTTCTTTGTTCAGAACCATCCTAATTTCAAAAAGTGGCTGACTGAATGAGTGTAAGTCATTATAAGCTCCTGATCCAGAATGGGAACCTGAGCCTGTGCTGTTTTAAAGAGGTGTTTGAAGCAGTGCTTGGAAAATTTGCAAAATTTGCATAATTTCTATCCTATTCTGACATCCTAAGAAGAGTGATACTCAAATGTTCCATAATTTTTTTAAAAAATAAAAACAGTGGTTGATCCTCCTCCCTTGTGCTATGTTCTCCATTTGCCCAAAGCAATGACTTAATGATAAAGGAGAACCATACCAAATTCATGTTGAGTATTCCATTTGGAAAAATCATATAGAGGAGTTAAAAAAAAACTTTGCCCCTCCTCCCCCCAGCTTTGTAGTCCTGACTTAATCCTTCTATGGTTGTTTTTATAATTTTGAAAATGGCAGGATACTCAAAGTGTTCATGACTTCAAATATTATGATTTAATTGTCCCTCAGGTAAAAATAGATTCCAGCAATTTCTAAGGATAAGACAATTTTTTCCGTGAGGCTTGGATTTATTTACTTATTTAAAAACAACTCTGAATGGCTCCCAATCAAAAGTTCAAACAACATATAAAACCATATTAAAATATAAAACTAAACACATTAGAACATTAAAAACAACAAAAACCTGGTGCCAAGTCAAACTTCTAATGTGCAGTCATCCAATTTTATCCCAGCACTTGTGGGTTTTTAGTGCTTTTTGGCAGGCTAGGAAAGTAGAGGCCTGCTGAACTATAGGGGAGAGATGACAGGGGCTGCCATGGAAAAGACATGGTTCCTAGTCCATCAGATGGCAATATTTAGGGGAAGGGACTGGGAGCATGCTCACTTTATCTGATCTGGAAGGATGGGTAGATGTCTTTAGGAAAAGGGGGTCCTGCAGATAATGGAAGCATACTAAGGATCTTCAAAGTATCTGCAAGATGGGGGTCTATGCAAATTAGCCTTGGGACTCCCAAACTTTGATACTAGTTGCTAACTTCTGTATTTGGAGACCATGCTCCATCTGTGAAGGAGCATGGTGGTATCCTTATAGATTCCAGGATCCACTGAGAATGCACATTGTATAAACTGCCGTAGGTTATCACCAACGCTTCTCCAGTTTTGCAATACATAGTTGCTTCATTTCATCCATTATTACCAGTGAAACTAACCACATTTGCCACTATTGCTAACCACATTTCTTTCTCCATTCTAGATGGGCCCCAAATGGATGACTCCAACTGTCCCCAGACATTGACTTGGGAGGAGGGAAGTACGACAACATTTACCTGCTCAGCCTTGGGAAATCCCACACCAATTGTTCAATGCTGGAAAGATGGGAAGTCTTATAACACTGGGGAGCCACAGCTGGTCCAGACAGAGCATAATGGCATATATCAGTGCAATGCTACTAACCAGTATGGCTTTGATGCTAGAGATGTGACCATACACGTTGAAGGTAAGTTAACCTATTGACCTAAAGAATGACAAGAATGGCCACAGTCTTAAGTCTTGTAACTACCAACCAAATCTGCATTTATCTTTAGTTCTCAAGTAGTGACTTATAGACTTAACCCAGTGAAACAAACTGATAAAAATTCTGACCATAACAGGCCTTCCATCTATAGCCCAATCAAGAAAAATTGAAAAGGTTCTTGTGCTAAGCAAAGATTCATTGTGAAACAGTGAAGAAACTCTGTCCATGCTAGCAACCCTCATCCTGCTCATTCAATTGTCCTCCAATAATTTGCCATTATCTTTATATCTATTTCTCCAACCTGTGCCTTCACATTTTATTAAATTTCATCTCCAATAATCTTTAGCTAACTTCATCAGGTTTTGCAATTAAGCTATTATATATACATTTCCACTTTAATACTTCTGCTTCAACATCTTAATATAGCAAGAAGCATTTCCTGGAAGGACATGTTGCAGATATTCAGCATTAATAGTATTAAACAGTATCATCGCTTATTCCATTCCTTCTCTTTCCTATATTCATCCCTACTTTCTTTTTCTTTTTTTCTTTTTTTTGGGGGGGGGCTTTTTTCATCTGCTGGCAGGTACTGTAACTCTCTGCCCATTTATCAGACACATGTCTGTCTGCATCCTCTATTGAAAAAAAAACTCCTATCTCTTAGCTCTTTCATACATTCAATATTTGCCCATTATCTTTCCTTCAAAACTCCTCGGAGAATATATCTTTTTCTCAATTTCCTCCTCAATTTCACATACTTGTTTCAATGGAGTTTTCATGTAAGACATTCTATCCAACTGATTTAGACATGTTATAATCAATCTCCTGGTGGCCAACGCAAATCACCTATGTTCAGTTCTGGTGTTACCCAATTTATCCACTATTTTTGTTTCCTTGAACCATCATTATTTTCCTACCTGAGTTTCCTTAGTAATATCAAAACTACAGTGATCTTACACCTATTTATCTCATTAATGAGTGACATTCTTTAAATAACTTCATCAATAAAATGATCCACATTTGTAGTTTTCATTTAATCAATGATTGTAGGATCCACTGGTTCCCAACCACTAAGACAGCAAAGCAGTCAATCAACTCATGTTTGGATGATTGGAGCAGTATGGATTTACCTGATTCCTCGCTTTGTCACCAGATCCATTTCCAGAATTCACACCATTTTGGACATTGTTTAAACTATCCCTAATTCCTACATTGGCTGGTGTTTATTCAAGTTTAAATTGCTGATGTTAATTCCTCTGGTCTTATACACACCCAATGTTTCTTTTAAAAAATGCTTGTGGCTCTAGTATCAATACAGGTAGTCTTCACTAACCAGGGACCAGGAACTCTGTAGCTAAGTCATGCAGTTGTAAAACATGATGTTGGTTCCACTTGCTGTTGTTAGAAGAATCCTGCAGATTGCAGCATCCCGTAGTTACATATTCATCATTCACAATCTCCTGCCAGCTTCCCAATTAACTTTACCTGTCAGAAGCTGGCTGTTAAGGTTGCAAATGACAGTCATGTGACTGTAGAACCCTACAGCATTGTAACTGTCAGCTGGTTACTGAACATACAAATCATTTCACTTGGCCTCAGGGTCACATGGCCACAAGTATGAGAATCCTTCATAAGCACCCCTCATTCAGCACCATCATAACTTGAATAGTCATTGAACAAATATAAGTTCAGCAAGGACTACCTGTAAATCCCAGCTGATTCATACCTCCTTATACTAAAGTAGGAATATCATGCTTAAGAGTTCTTTCCCAGCCACTGCCAATTTTTTGGAACCAACTTTCATTGTCTTTTTTCAAAATGTCAATGCTTAAGCATTGACTCCTCATGCAGAATTATTATTTTGATTTGAATGAAAGTCCCCATGATGGTTTTACGTGCTGTGGACCATTAGCTTAGTGCGGCCTTATATTTTGTTTCTCAGATTGGAATGTACTGTATTATTGTACCAAATTGTTGATGGTGTATTTTATTATTATGTACCATGCCTGAAAATAACTGCTACTACTACTGCCTAGGTGGTAGAACTGTACTGCTATGGAACTAGTAGATGCCAAATTTTAATGCATTCGTGTTTTTCCTTTCGCAGCTTCTCAATCCATTGGCCATATCATTGGCTATATAATTGCTGCGGTGGTGCTGATTGCCATTGGGGCTGGTATAGCTTATTGGGTAAGCTATAACCAAAAGATTGGGATCTACCATCTGTGGCAGAAAGGGAAGCAACGGCAATCACCACAAGCTGCTCAAAACTCAGTGGAGCAAAGATTCCTGAATGGCAAAGCAAATGTCTAAGCAGATCTGTGTTTACTACAAACTGAAGAACCACTTGTCCCAATGCCAGCGAGATTGTAGCTGTGTTCAATGTTCATCACTCAACTTAGCTGCAGAGGATGTTGATTACATGCCATCAAGTCATTATTTATTTATATTTATTTATTTAAAACACCTGTAGCTGGCCATCTTTCCACCAACTCTGGGTGGCTCCCAATCAAAATTAGGGACCACATTGATAGATTTTCTCCATGATGTGGAAGAAGAAATATGGGAAACTGTTCTTCAGCTCCTGAACATTTGATGGGCAGTGGTCCAACTGGCCTTTGTTTTTGGACTTTGGAGGGGTGATGATAGTAACTTCTGCACTTTCAGTGAGTGGCAGTGCTTAGGCCTCCTGCCTTTTTCTGAAGCTCTCCTCTACCATCTAAGTGAACATTCAGACTTTTCTTTGAAAAAGCAACCAGGAACTAAAGGTGGTCTTAAAGTTTTTGGGCTACCTCCAGGAGGAGGCATTACTGGGAAACCACTAAGAAGTACTGGAATAGGAAGAGGGTGTCTGCAACACACCGCTTGGGCTTTTCCTGCAATAATGGACAACTCAGCCATAGAGTGTAAAGCATGTCAAACTCGTGATGTCACGTGATGTCGCGCAACGTATCGGGACGGTTTTGCCATTGCCTACAATGGGGTGGGTGCAGCTTCCAGGTGATATGTCCAGCCCACGGGCTGGCAGTTTGACACCCCTGGTGTAAAGCATCTTCCAGATTTCTCCTCACACCGTTAAATTAAAAATAATACCATAATCATAAGCAACATAGTAAAATTCTTTAGTCCTTTGTGCTCTCTGAGCTTGAATGTTTTCTTGCAGACATTTCATTACCCAACTGAATAACACCATCAGTCCTAGAAGGGAGTGGAGTTTGCTCTCTGTTTATATAGAGATGGCCTGCCTGTCATAATGATGGGGGTGTTCTTGGTAGTTCCTTAATTAGGCTGTTCTTTACTGTTTGTTTGTTTGAGTTAGCAGTTCCTTGACAGTGGTATTGTTTACTGCTTGTTGGTTGGTCTGGTATTAATCCTGGTGTTAAGCTCTGCTTATCTGGGTTCTGATTGCTGGTGAGGAGGTCTTTTTGCTTCCTGTTTAGCTTTTTAATTGTCTCTCTTGAATGAAATGTAGATACTATTTTTCACTATATGTCTACTGACAGCTAATTTGTCTGAGTGCCAGAGACTTCCAGGAATTCTCTAGCATTTCTTGGACTTAGCTTGGTCTAGGATACTCATAGTTTCCCAGTTGAAACTATGGCTAAATCTGTCCATGTGTTGTGCAATTAAGGAGTTTTCATTATGTCTTCGGACTGCTACGGCATTCTCAAAAACTCCTTTCTCTTTCTGCAGATTTGCACCTACAAATTTTCACAGCACATGCCAGAAAGTTAGAGCCTTTTTCTATTTTTAAATACTAGTACATGAGTTCATGATTATTAAGATGCCACATTCCATAACGCTAAGTCATATTTCCAAATGCTGGGAAGAAATTCCTGAGGTACAATGATTCAGAACTAGCCTCTCCCAGTGATGGTTTCTCAGCTCAGTAAGTCTAACCTTCTCATGCAGTTCTTGGTTTTACATATGTGTTTTATTGTTGGGAGAAGAAAATAATGGTGCAGAAATCATAAAAAATGATTAAAAAGCTAAAGAATAAAGTTTATATATATATATATATATATATATATATATATATATATATATATATATATATATATTTTAAAATATTGTGTAATAGAAGGGAGGTGTTCCCTGCATACTACAGGGCCTCTATGTTGAACGAGTTATGTTCCCAGGAAAATAGAGATGGCAAGGGCACTATTTCTGCTCTGCTATCAGCAGAGGTTCTGTCATGGTTCACATTCTTATACAAAAAATAGTAGAACCTGAATAAAGACTATATGGGAGAAAAAGATCTTTCTGTTATTTATAACTGGATAAAGAGGAAAATAACCTTTCCCCCCCCCCAAATCAGTAAAACAGGTTGCTCTTCTTAGTTTGCCATTGTCACTTTTGACCTTCAAAATCTTCCCCCACTCTTCTTGGGCTGGGCCCTCTAGGCCAGTGGTTCTCAACCTTTTTAATGCCGCGACCCCCAACCAGTCGTAAGTCGAGGACTACTCAACTGGTCGTAAGTCGAGGACTACTCAACTGGTGCAGCACCGTTTGCAGAATGGGACTTTTGATGGGCTCAGCAGGGCAGAGACAGCCTGGACAATTCCTATTGGCTTTTGAAAGCCAATAGAATTAGACTCTATTCAAGAGAGTCTATTCTATTGGCTTTCAAAAGCCAATAGAATAAAAGGGAGTAGCACAGCTAAGGAAAAGGGGAAAAAAATGGCGGACTGCATTGTTTGGCGACCCCCGTGAAATGGTCGTTTGACCCCAAATGGGGTCCCGACCCACAGGTTGAGAATCACTGCTCTAGGCATTTTTAAGCAACAAAATTTGTAAAAGCTCCAGTGAAAGCAGCATGTAACCATAAAGGTGCATTTCATCCTCCCTTCTTTATTTTGTTGAGGAGATTCTACTTTGAGTCCTACTTCATGGTCATCTGGGAGGAGGAAGTGTCTTGAGAAAAAGGGGTATTTTTTTTTTTTTGCAGTATATACTTAAACACTTGGTATAATTGGACAGCCTTCTTCAGAGATGCTTTAATTTGCATCCTGGCACTTAGCAAGGGTAGAACAGTAGTTCTGAATTGGTTGCATGTATGCTGCAGATGGGACTTAGAAGTAAACTGAGAGTACCTGTGTGCAACTCACGTTATTGCTAACTCACTGAAACTTCAAGCCCTGTGAATGACTGAATGACAATATGACCACTTGTCAGCATATGATATGTTTTATATGTAGGTAAATAATACTTGTGTCTTGGGGGAGGGAGGAAGCCTTTTTGCTTCTATCATGCTGGGACCCAGTCCTTGAAAGAACAATTGATGGATGTTAAGATACAGAAGGCTGAGAACCACTGATTTCAGTATGTAATATTCTTTTGTGAGGAAAAAGAAAATGCAATCACTTGTGTTGAAGGATTCTTCTTGGCAGAAAGAAATGCATTTGTGGCAGAAAAGAACTCTCTGATAAATTGAAAGACAAAAAGGACAAGTATAAAAAGTGGAAAGAGGGGCACATAACTAAGGCAGAATATCAGCAAATAGCCTGAGCCCGCAAAGATGAAGTGAAGAAAGCTAAGGCTCAAAATGAACTAAGTCTTGCAATAAAAGTCAAAAATAACAACAAAAAAAGCTTCTTTCAACATGTAAAAAACAAGAAAAAGGTTAAGGAAATTATTGGTCCATTAGTGGGAGAAAGTGGCAAGAAGGTGACAAGCAACAGGGAGAAAGCAGAACTACTTAACTCATTTTTTGCATCTGTCTTTACACAAAGGGAAAAAAACAGTCCAACCTATCAAAAACAGTACTGTAAAAAACAGATTAGAAACACAAGTTAAGATAGGCAAGAAAATGGTAAGTGAGCACCTGTCCACCCTAGACAAATTCAAATCACCAGGACCAGATGGATTACAACCCAAGGTTCTGAAGGAACTGGAGGATGTGATCTCAGAACCATTGAACTATATCTTTCAAAAATCCTGGAGCACTGGGGAACTACCAAAGGATTGGAAAAGAACTGATGTAGTTCCCATCTTCAAAAAAGGAAAAAAAATGGATCCAGGAAACTACAGATCTATCAGCTTGACCTCAATATGTGGGAAGATTCTGGAAAAGATAATCAAACAATGAATCAGGAACACCTAGAGACAAACAAAATCATTACCAAAAGCCAACATGAGTTTGTCAAAAAGAGATCATGCCAGACAAAACTTATTGCATTCTTTGACCAGGTGACAAAATTTGTGAACCAGAGGAATGCTGTGGATATAATTTATTTGGACTTCAGTAAGGCATTTGATAAAGTAGACCACAACCTACTACTTGATAAGATTGAAAAATGTGGGTTAAACGGCATCACCACCAGGTGGATTCTTAGCCGGCTGACCGGTCGTACTCAGCGTGTGGTCCTCAATGGAACTGCATCTACATGGAGGGAAATGTGTAGTGGGGTGCCCCAGGGCTCTGTTCTGAGTCCAATGCTCTTCAACATCTTCATCAATAATTTGGATGAGGGGATAGATGGGAAACTCATCAAATTTGCAGACAACACCAAGCTGGCAGGAATAGCCAACACTCCAGAAGGTAAGCTTAAGATACAAAAGATCTTGACAGACTTGAACATTGGGTGCTATCTAACAAAATGAAATTCAATGGTGAAAAAAGTAAGGTTCTACATTTAGGCAAGAAAAAACAAATGCACAGGTACAGTGTAGGACGGGTCTCCTGCTTGAGCAAAAGGTTTGACTGGAAGGCCTCAAAAGTCACTTCCAGCTCTGTTGTTCTGTAGGCTTAGTACTTTTCTCATGTACCCTTGTAATCCTGAAAAGAAAGGGAAAATAAACTGGATGTTTGAAAAGAACTACTGCAAACTTTTTAGTTTCATAAAAAGAAAAAAAGGCAGACAAAAATATGGGTGATTTTGAAGACACAATTGGATCATATTGTGCTGGTGAACCTTTGGCCATATAAGGAACAATGTCATGTTTGTAATGTTAGTTTGTACAAATGGCCCTTATGAGCTAAATCCACTGGATTCTCATGCAGTCAGAACCAGTAAAATTGGAATAGGACAGTTTTTGATTGAATAGACCAATCACACTAAAGTGCATCCAATTGCTCTGGCTTGCTCAAACTGAATCTCTCATTCCTTACCACTTCATGAGATCAAATAGATCTAAATGCATTTGATGATGGCTTTGGGGACCTGACTCATTAGGATGGAAACATTCATGTGTGTGAGAGGGGAGAAGTATCCAATTACTCTTCAGGGGTAAAATATTGGGGGCAAATTGAAATAGGAAATGCTTTCTTATCAGTCATGGACCTTAGCTTGAAATGTAAAGAAAGTGACGTAAGATATAAAATAGCAATATTTGATCTATTTATGAAATGTAAAAGTACAATATATGCAGATATAGTAGCACCAGTGCTTTTTTTCTAAAAAAAAAGAAAAGCTGCCGGAAGTCACACCGGTCATACAACCCGCCTTGCCTACCCTACAAGGTTCCATCCAAAAAAGGTGCCGGTTCTCTGTTCTGGGTGTTCTATGACAAAAAAAGCCCTGAGTAGCACACTCTCATAGTGCATCCCAAAAATTGAAAGTACAAATTCCTTTTTCTTAAGTTATCGAATGGAGATGGCTAGTGTGAGAAAACACAAAGTGAAACCATAAAGAACCACCGAGACAAAGAAAATTCATTAGCATTTGAATTTTTATGTAATATTAGACCTCAGTATTTACATATCGAAATGGAAAACTGGGTATTTTTAGAGGTACTGCTAAGACAAAAATGGCTACAGTCATTGACACACAAAATGATATGAATCATGGAGGCTGGTAGTGAAAGGTTGAGAATGGCTGACCAAGAACGGTTATTGAAAGAGGCAATTAATAGATTTCAGTGATCAGGAAAAAAGGTGATTTCTTGGGCGGGAAAACTAGGACCGGAAATACGGGCTCAGTGAGCCTTAGTGAGGAGGAAATAAGTGTTTCCTGAAGCTGCATAAATGTTAACGAGCTTGGCAGACATAGTCGATAACTGTACTTCCAGAAGCCACTTGCAGCTTTGAGTGTAGGAGCTCGTTCTGCCTCTGTTTCTTGCTTTCTCCTGCTGTTTGGACTGATCTGGATTTTGGCCTGCCTCTCTCAGGGAATCAACCCAGACCACTGAGAGTGCAACATGCAGAAATTTATTTTCTTTTTTGCCGTAGGAGCCTGGGCTGTTACTCAAGGTAAGGAAGGAAACCTCCATGTTTCTCCTATTGATTTGGTGTCTCTCTGAGATTAATCAGATCCATTGATTCTCTGCATCTCACAACAATTCACCTTTTCATCCTGGATTGCTGTATCCCAGGGATGGTGACAGAGGGCCCCACTGAAGGAACGTGGCTTCATTCCCAGCATTAGTGGAGAGATGTGGGGTTCAAAGGGCACATTTTCGTTCCATTCCTAAAATTGGCATTCCCTCAGTTGTCGCGTGGCAAAGCACGAAAAGGAGACAGGTGTTCAGAATGTAATTTTATGTAAATGTAAATGTAAAATGTAATTTTAGTGGGAAGTGGGAATGAGATTAATGTCCATATTGCACATTCCTTGGAACTGGCTGGAGCTTTTTTATATACAATAGCAAACCATGTCCAGATTTGCTGCCATGGCAGGCTAACCCTAGACAATGATTTGAATATGAAGGCTGGCAGGTGGAGATCAAAAACTGCAACTTTTTGATAAGTTAATTTTATCAGAGATGCTATAGAGCCGAAAAACATTGTAACGGGGATGTTTGGACATGTTTGGGCTCTTTCTATCTGACTTTCATCCTTCAAGCACTTATACATATCAGTACGTAGAAGATCATCAAAAGGTAAAAGCAACTCATATCTGCTCTACAAAATGGCTCACCTAGGTAGCCAGTCTTTAGAAAAAAATAATACTGGTGGTATCAGAAGACAGCAAAGCATGTATTTCTCTTTCACTATCTCCCTCTCCTAAGTGTAGTTCTATAATTTAACATCTATGACAGCAGATCCAAATCTTTCCCCCCTCTCTCTTCTCCCCCTCCCTCTATATATAATTTTAAAAAATATTTATACAGTATATTAATAAATCTTTAAAGCAACAAAATAAAATAAAATGGAAGGGAAAAAAAAGAACAAAAGTAATGGCAAGAGAAGAAAACATATAGTTATAGTTTCTATTTTTCTTTCTATCATCTTATTCTTTTCTCCATTTTATTTTGACCTTGTTAATTCCCAAAACCAGAAATCATCTTTTCAGTTTTTTCATATAAGGTTTTCACCCAAACCATTTTCTTTAAGCTTTGGGGGACTACAACATAAATCAAGGACTGGCCGTACATAGTCCCCAGTTTCTCCAGATAGTGTCTTTAATGATACCAAAGCTAAATAAAAACTCAGTGTTTTTTTTTAAAGTTGAAATGATTACATGAGATGATGGTGTCACCAGCATTTGGTCAAGAAAGCCAAAATCCAACAAGTTTTACTGGTTTCCCTTGTCTGGCCCATGGAAAAAATATTTATAAATATTTTTATTTTATTTTCATTAGTATCCAAGGAACATGTATATAGTATCCTTACAAACCCCAGGTTGGGAGGATCCGTTATGGATCAATGGCTTATTAGTATTAGTAAAAAAGAAGCCCAATTGATCAGGACTATGTTTAGATTATCATTTAATGGCATTTGTAATCCTTCCAAATTATTTTTGAAGTTGTCTCCATTAAGGAAAAAAAATGAGAAAGAACGTGTTTTGTGAAGGGTAGACTGGAAAAATCAAATTGAGGCAGACTGGGAGAAATTGTCTTGTAAGAAATCTTCATGGAATGTTGACCTGTTGACCTCCATGCTGGCTCAGGAATTCTGGGAGTTGAAGTACAGGAGTCATAAAAGAGCCAAGGTTGCCTACCCTGATTTAGGCAAATGTTGGAAGTCAAGGAGGAGCTGAAGAATCATTTCCTCAAATTTCTACTGCAGAACATCCTAGTCCAATGTAATTTTTCTCCAATGAAAGTCTATGGACCATTAAACAGAAATTGTGGGGAAATCCAAGGCATTGGATTAATACTTGGGATCAGATTTCAACTGATTACTTTGCAATGCTAATTCTCATTATTTTGTATGATTTAAGATATTCAGGAGAAGGCTATTATCCATTTATGCTGTAATAAATAATAAAATCCCCTACTAAGCTACTTAGAGCATCAGTTTGATGTAATAGTTAAGGCATCAGTCTAAAAAAACCAGTTCTATGAGAGGTGCTTTCCATTGCCATGCTTTGATTGACAGTTCCATCTCCAATGGTCCCAAATGCCGTGTCCCCAAAGTCTGAGCTGCTTACTCAATGTTACTGGTTGTTTGATGGAAGTCAGGAAGAGAATATCATGAGGACTCCTATTAATTTTAAGTTTCCTCTTTTTGAAATTTGAACTAGTCCTCACACTTTATTTTCTATCGTTCTCATTGCAAAAAAAAAGTGAGGGATTTAATTGTAAATTTCCATCGTCATTATTTGCTAGCACAAATGGTTAGGAAAAATATTGAGGCATCCATCACACAGTAAAGGGCGACATCAACAGTTCTACTGAAATCTATTGTTAGAGGCAGATTTCCTGATTGCAATTTATGAATCATGAGTTGCATAATCGTGATTTTAAGTTATTGAAGCACAGAATAGGAGCAACTTAATCTTTTCATTCTCCTTTATAGTTTATTACTGTTTGCATCAATCAAATAAATGTATGCTTTTCATTATAATCTCAAAGCTGATTATAATTTATGGTTTAATCCAAAATAGGACTTTAAACCATAAAGTAGCAATCACATATTATAAGACTACACAACTGCAACATTTTGAAAGTATTAAGTATGTTGGATCTATAAACTCAGAGAAAATCAAGATTGCTAGTAATATTGCTTCAACATTTATTTCTTTGTTTATAATCTTTATATCTAATTCCAATTAATATCCCCAAGTACTTTAAGAAGAAATTGAAAAAGAATCATCTGTAAATTGTAAGTCTAAAACATATATGAAAATGGATGTGAGATAGAAAAAAATCAATACAATAAAAATAAATAAAATCTGTCTCCACCATTCACACAGGGAAGACATAAATGAAACGACAGGACTTCAGTGGACACCTTAAGAATATCAGAAAAGAGGGAAACATCCCAAAAAGCTGACATCAGGAAGCCCTGTCTGAGAGTGACTGGGAGATGACATTCCACAATCTGGGGCACCAAAAGTAGAATCTCCCCCAAAGCTCTTAGTCATTAACAGAGAAAGAGCTCCACTAGATCTCCTGATTTCAAGAGTGTGTTTCAGAGTTCAGGGCTATTATAGCAACCAGACAGTTTTTATAGTTTGACGTCCTTTTATGAAACCCTATTGTTTTATTTTTGGTAGTGCCCTCAGTAATCTTCTCTCCAAAATAGCTATTAAAATCTTAGTAACAATATTTAGCAAAAAAATAGGCATAATTATTATATTAAGTAGGAGCCTTCCAAATTAGAGATATAAGCTTCATAGAAAGAAGCTGGGAGGGCTTTATTTTTGTAAAGTGTCCGAAATACGGAGCCACATGTGGCTCTTTGAGCCTTCCCCTGCGGCTCCCAGCCTCCTCTGCCATTTCCAGAAAGCTTCCCTTCTCTCTCCCTCTCCCTCTCCCTCTCCCTCTCCCTCTCTCTCTCTCTCTCTCTCTCTCTCTCTCTCTCTCTCTCTCTCTGTGTTTGTGTGTCTGTGTGTGTAAAAAAAAGCGAGTGGGCTCACAGAACTGAAAAGCTTACTGGGCGGAGCTTCTCCTTTTGCTGAGTCTCTGCAGGAACCAGGAAGCGGGAAGGGCAGGAGATAGCTAGCTAGCCCAGCTATGCTGGCTCAGGAATTCTGGGAGTTGAAGTCCATGAGTCATAAAAGAGCCAGGGTTGCCTACCCCTGAGCTTGTTGGAGAACAGCTTGAAGCCAGCTTGCCAGGTGAGCAGAAGATTGGAGAGAGGGGGAGGAGAGAAAGAGAGAGAGGGGGGAGAAAGAGAGAGAAAGAGGGAGGGAGGGAGGGAGGGAGGGAGGGAGAGAAAGAATGAGAGAGGAAAGAGAGAGAGAAAGAAAGAGAGTGGGGGAAGACGACTGGCAGACCAAGGGCAGAAAGAGAGAGAAAGAGAGAGAGGAAAAAGAGAGAGAGAGAAAGAGAGAGGGAGAGGAAAGAGTGAAAGAAGGAGAAAGAGAGGGGGGGAGAGACAGAGAGTCAGAGAGAGAGACCCTTTTGACATCTAAAATGAAGATAACACTGCATATACCCTTTTTTACCTTTATGATATATATATATATATATATGTATGTATGTATATGTGTGTGTGTGTGTGTGTATACATATGTATATGTATATATATGTATATATATATATGGTAAAAAAGAATATATGCAGTATTATCTTCATTTTAGATATCAAAAGGATTTTGTGGCTCCCAGTGTTTTGTTTTCGGTGGGAAATGGGTCCAAGTGGCTCTTTGAGTGTTTTGGGTTGCCTACCCCTGCCCTAGGGCTAATCCCATATGTTCCAAGGGCTGATAAAACATATCTGGAATGTCACTGATTTTCTATAACATTAGGTGTGGAGTCAAAACACTTAAATGTATATTTGAAATTTCTGGAAGATTTATTAAATTTTAAAATTATCTATATAGTTGCTAGTTGTACATAAATTTTGTAACATTCTAAACATTATAATTGATCTATTTTGCTCCTGAAAAACTTTTTATTAAATATATTATTTTACTTTATTACAAATATAAGAAGCCATTCATTTCATAGGTTTTCTCCCTGTTCCCAACAAATTTGTTAAATTTTTAAAAAAATATTCCTTGTCCAAAGGATACAATTGGTTCAACACTAGGTTAGTAAATCTAAATGCATGATATACCTCCTAAATTTTTTTGCAACAGAATCCATGAGCACTTTTGATTTTTTTTTTAATTTCTAATTCAATTTTATCATATTGTGATGCATGCATCTTTTTCTTCCAGGGGTGATAGGCTAGTAGTGAAATAGGTACTTTAAGAGTAAGCCATACTATTCCCATATTAGTGGACTATCTATTTGTGGAAAAAATGGTACATCTTTCTTTTGCTATTTAACAAAATGTGATTGCTTCAGCAAGGAGAGGTTAAAAAAACCTTCTCCCATGAACTGGGATATTTTTATTCAAAGTCAGTGAATTTACTATGATTACATAGTCAGAAATTAAAACTGTTGCATATCTCATCTAAATTAGCTTCAAAAATAAAAATAATTGAGACTTGAAATGTGCCATAAGGAGTAGATAACACAGTTTGTTGGAATTCAATTATATCTAGATGTGCGCTACATTAAATCTTAGGTATATATGCAAAGGATATTGTGACTTTTGACATTTGTTTAGTGCAAGCCAATAATGGATCTAAAACTAAAGGATTTTTACTTTTTGCTTGACAGCTATAGGCCTCAATAACTTTGGGAGCTACATTAGTCTCCAACTGCAACTCAAAGGGCTGGCTGTTCAAAGCCTCCATTTTTCACCATCTGGATATCTGTGGGTCTACCTTTTCCCTGAAATCTTTGCTTGTCCTTTTAGATCTGGACAAAAAGGCTCCCTCTGGATCCCAACCTTTAAGGCAGACATGTCAAACACAAGGCCTGGGGGCCGGATGAAGCCCGCGAAGTGGTTTCATGTGGCCTGCAAAGCCATCCTGGAAACAGTGAGGGAATGGCCCCCTCCGCCTTGGCCCTGGCTCAGGCCGGCCGGGAGCCAATGTACAATTTTGTGGTGGCCATCTATGCTGAAACACATTCAGTCTTAGCTCCATAAGGTCCTCCCTGCATGGCCTGAGAGGAACAGGGAAGTTCCTCCAGTGGACCATGCCTTGGCACTTGCTCCGGTCCCACCCCCTTCTGCCAGAGACCCTCAGATGTGTCCCACTCCTGCCCAGGCACCCTTGACGTGAACGATGTAGAGCTGGCCACGCCCACCCAGTAGGCCACACCCACTCCATCCATGCCCACCCAGTAGGCTGCACCCACCCTGGCCACACCCACCCGGCCCCTTGAGGGCAATCACAATGCTGATGCGGCCCTCAATGAAATTGAGTTTGACACCCCTGCTTTAAGGAATGGCCTCTGCAGGGTTGGGCTGTCACAGTCACCGCCTGAATTTTCTAGGACAACCTCCCTAGCCTGATATCTGATGGGCCACAACTCCATTATCTTTCTGTAGAGCTATTAAGATTTGGTTATTTCAAGAGGTTTTGGGGTCTCGGGGTTTGTTTCATCTTTCATTGATGTTGATTGCAGACATGGGCTGTGGGTATTCCTTAGGGCTTCAGTAAGTCGTGCATAGTTGGGTTTTTAATTTTACTACTGCTGGTGGGTCTGTAAGCAATCTGGAGTCAGATACGATTGGAATGGCATATAAAGAGCAGCTTGAATTTCTTTCCAAATAAAGGTTTTACAGTAAGTTTGCAAGTTTGTCCCTATTGAAGGTCCATGTCTGGACTAGAACACATTGGGCTTCCTATTATTCAGTATTACTTTCTAACTTTTCCTCTACTCATCTGTTTCAGTTCATTTTTGCACCAGCTGTGTCTCTTTTGATTTCAGGAATTGCGGAAGAAGAGTATGTGGAAATTTGGCCTCTAAATCCTGTGGTGGAATTTGGAGGCTCTCTTGACTTGAATTGCACCAGCACTTGTGAAAATATTGGCATTGAGTCTCCCTATACAAAGGCTCCCATTGAAAATGGATCCAATTGGAAAAGCTTTCGTCTCACCAATGTGAACTATTGGGCAGCCAGCCCTTTGTGCTATGCTGACTGTAAGACTGGACAGAAGAAATCTCCAAAGACAAACATCATTATTTATAGTAAGTCACTTGCTAGATTGTGTCCATTATGCTCTATTGCAGTGGTGGCGAATCTATGGCACGGGTACCAGAGGCGGCACTCAGAGCCCTGTCTGTGGGCACGTGCACCGTCGCCCCAGTCCTAGGCCTTCAGGTGGGTTTTATAAAACCTTTTCGCTTTAGGCTTCCACTGTCGTGTGCAAAAAAAAAAAGTTCAATCAATCAATCAATCAATTTCAACTTCTTGTGGGAAAAAAAGATCTCGCAAAGTTAGAATTTATTGATTGAACTTTTTAGTCCCACCCAGTCTGCCGTTACCACCACAGCCATGCCCACCCAATGGGCCACACCCACCCAGCAACCGACGATGCATAAGAGGGTTTTGGGTTGCAGTTTAGGCACTCGGTCTCTAAAAGGTTTGCCATCACTGCTCTAGTGTTACCCAAACTGGAGAATTTTAAGATGGTTGGACTTCAATTTCCAGAATTCTTGAACCAATATAGCCTTTACTAAGAATTCTAGGAAATGAAGTCCACACGTCTCAAAGTTACACAGGCTGGTATAAAATGGTATAAAACAATTACCTTGATCCATTCAAGGAATTTGATTTAGAAATTTTTTATTCTCTTCCAGAACCTCCAGACCATATCAAATTGGATACAGTTCCAAAGATGGAGGTGGGCAAGATGTATAACTTGACATGCTGGGTTTCTGGTGTAGCTCCCATCAGGAACCTCACTGTGACCTTGTTGAAAGGGGAAGAGCAACTTCTGGTAAAGACATTTGAGGATCATTCTGACCCTAAAGCTGATGATGTTGTGGTGAACCATAACATAACAGCTCAGCAAAATGACCACCACAAGACAGTCACCTGCCAAACATCTCTAGATCTGAATCCAAGTGGACCACTCGTGAAAAACACCTCCCGCAACATAACATTAGAAAGTTTTGGTGAGATCTCCATCATTGCTTCAATCCCTTGTTTGGATATTGTTTAAAAGCTTTAATTTTTAAGTTGCTTCTCTTCAAATGCATGCCTAAGGGTGTTTGGAGAAGAGATTTTTTATCTTCTGGGATTATTGAAAAATATTGTTGGGCTTCCTCCAAAATTTGGCCCACTCATTTAAGCTGATTCCACTGTTTTGATTTTTGTTTGTGTAGATCTGAACTCCCCTAATGTACTTCAGCAGTCACCCCTTGAGGGGCTAGAGAGTGGGTACTATTGTGGCTGTGATTTCTTTTGAAATGACATGATTTCTCTTACTTTCTTGGCAGATTTTGCAGATGTTCCCCTGCTCCATGCTGGCCTGTTCTTAGAAGCTGGGACCATGATGAAAGTGACATGTGATACACCTAAGATTTCCCCAGCCGATGAGGCCATATTTGATCTGTGGTTTGCAGGGAAGTCCCTGACCTTCAACACCACTGTGATGGGGGGCTTGGCAAGTGCCCAGGCTGTGATAGTCTCTTCCTCAGTTGGAGAACAAGAGTTGATCTGCAAGGTCTCTCTGGGACCAGTGACCAAAAACGTGACAAAGATGGTGAATGTGTTTGGTGAGTCTCTTATCTGTACTTACTAACACAGACAGATTTAGAAGAGTTTTCTTCCATCTATTTCAGTGGTTCTCAACCTGTGGGTCGGGACCCCATTTGGGGTCGAATGACCATTTCACGGGGGTCGCCAAATAAGGCTGTCCGCCATTTTTCCCCCTTTTCTTTGGCCACGCCCCTGGCACCCGGTGATGTATAAGTGGTTGGGGGTCACCACAACATGGGGAACTGTATTATGGGGTCGCGGCATTAGAAAGGTTGAGAACCACTGATCTATTTGAACAAATCTAGAAGAAGTTAGAAGTTAGATTGATTTTATTTTGAAAAGCAAAACTTCAATGATTTGAATCAATCTATCTGTAATTATTAACACAGACAGATTTAGAAGAATTCCCTTCCATCTGTGATAAGTTATAAGCTATATGAGGAGCAGGTTAAAGAAACAATGGTGATGTGGGCAATAGATTTAGGACACAATATAAATATGGATCAATAGCAGCAAGTATGGGAGTGGAATAACAAAATCACATTGGCGACATCATATAAAGAAAACCTGTACAAGATGGTTTACAGATGGCATCTCCCTCCGGCCAGATTAGTCAAAATGTATAACGGATACTCTTCTATGTGTTAGAAATGTAAAAATGGTGGACATGTAGAGAAGCACAGGTGTATTGGCGATTGGTCTGGGAATGGGCAATAGAAATGACTAAGCAAAACATTCTATACAAACCTGAGGCATTACTATTAGGAATACCAGAGAAAAATGTAAATGAAGAGGATACATATTTAATTATTCACGTGGTTATGGCGGCAAAGATACTATTTGCTCAAAAGTGGAAAGCAATGGAAGCACCGAGTGAGGAAGTGCTAATAAAGAAAATTATGTATTGCGCAGAACTAGATAGAATAACTAAAAGATTAAAAAATCAGGAAAAAACAGAATTTTATTGAATATGGAATAAATTTTATAGTTGGAGGGGAAAAATGGAGGTCACAAATAAAGAAATAAGTTAAGATAGAGACCAGAAATGTATAGTTTGTATATAGATATATATATAAAAAACATGTTATATTAACTTATCTTGAAAAACAAAACTTCAGTAAAATATTGGATAGTTTAAGTAGCTGAAGTGAGTCCACTTTGAAATGAATGGAATTGAAGGAGTAAGAAATTTATCCCAGTTGTATTTTCATTGAGACTGAAGAGCAACTATTAAAGGGTAAAACAAACTAATATTCCTATTCAAATTAAATACATACAGAGCTTGGATCTAATGTAAACCATTGGAAAAAATGAAGCATGAAATATAGTGCCAGGGTTTGGTAAAGCTGATTGCAAATGATTGAAAAACGTAGCTTCCATTGAAGATGTTTTTTTTCATGTTGCCAGCTGACAGTGTCCCTGCATTCCACAAAGATCTAGCTAGTTTCAACCCTGATTTTACAATTTACATTTACATAAGTATGGTAATATAGCAGAGCCAATATTTAAAATATTTTTCTTTGTGTTTGTCAAAAAACAAAACAAAATCCTAGCTATCATCTATTCTGGTTTCTGATTTTTAAATTTTAAATCGGTTTTAGTGACAAACTTTCACAGGATAAAAGTAATAAATGAAATAAATACACCATTTATTTGCTGGTCTATTTCTATACCCAGGCATCAGGTTATTGTAATATATGTTGATAGATAAAAAAAAGAGTTTAGAGGGATCAATCTGAGTTAACCAAATATATAACAGAAAAGAGCAAGGAGAAATGGGGGAAAAATGCCATTCTGACCTTGTTTCCTTCTTCGCAACATTTGTCAACCACTCATATATATGTTCTTCAAAAAAACAGTCCTATAGTTTTGGCCCACAAGAAGAATCCTGTGTGATGTATGTTTGGCTGAGAAAGAGCAAAGAGCCAAAGTCACTTAGTAAACTTCCATAGCTAGGGTGCCTTTGATCACTAGTCTCTCTTGTCCTGCTCCAATATCACAATCATTCTGTCTATATTTACTGATTGAAAGAAAGGGAAAAAAGGACCCAATCTGGGTCAGTCGCCAGGACTAAAGGTTTAGTCTTCCAAGCTTTCAGACTTGTGCTGCAGCCCATCAGGGAACTTCTGTCTAAAAGAGGAGTGTGCTTTGGGCTATTCTGTGTGTGGTATTTATATAATGCCTGGTTTTGTGTGGCTTTTTAGTTGCTGATTGGAATGTTGATGGACGGCTATTAAGTCGCTGGCTGTTGTTTCCTTGTGCTACCAAGTCTTCACCTCCTAAGTACTTGATAAGCTGGTGGTAAATCAGTACTCCTGCTGACTGATGAGGGACCCAATTTCTCAAGCTTCAGTCACTTTCCTGGCTGTTTTTATACCTGCTTGTCCAACATCTTAGTAGCTGCAGAATTGGAAGTATGTCCTTGTTCGTTGCAATGTGAGGCTACCAATGAGTTTGGGTCTCTTTGTCTGACTACTTGGTCGTGTTCTTGCAATTGGGTGGTTAGCTTCCTCCCTATCTGTTCTACATAGTCATAGGGGCAATCCGTGCAGGGGATCTGGTAGATTACATAGGAAGCATCTCCCACCTCCAAGCGATCTTTACAATGCATAGTTTGTCCTCATATGGTAGCCTCTGGGCAGTGTGTGATGCCCACTTGCAGATCTCGGAAGCTGTGTTCTACTGCTTCTGAAATGTTTTTGATATATGGGTACCCATTTGTTACAAGATGTCTGCGCAACCCGGTGGTGAGAGAACGGAAGAGACAAGGTGCAACACCAACGACATGGCACAACCTGGCATAGGTCAAAAACATTTTGGAAGCAGTAGAACACCGTTTCCGAGATTACATACCCCAAAAGCATACTCTGCTAGAGAGAAGTTCCCTGAGGATGGGCTCCAGCACAAGTCCAAAAGCTTGGAAAATTAAATCTCTGGTCCTGGTGACTGACTCAGATTGGATCCTGGGACGCATATATTTGCCTTCATTTATGAAAGAAAAAAAAGATGAAGAGGGCCTTGATGAGCAATTTTTATAATTAAGTTAGCTCACCTGAGTCAATCCATCTAGATGCATAATCACTGCTCCACTCTATTCCCTCACAGCTTTACCAAAACTCATCTTGCAGATTGGCCGTTCAGTAGCTGTTGTCAATCAAACAGTGAATATTACATGTAGCGCTGATGGCAGTGCTTCCCCTGGTTTTAAAATGCAGATCATGGATGCTGCCAAAATCTTAGCATCCGGCAACATTGAAGAACATTTCCTGCAGCATGCAGTGATCGCTCAGCAAGAGGATAACGGGAGGGAATTCATCTGCCAAGTCATCCTGATCATTGAAGGGCACACCAAGGAAAGAAACATATCTCAAAATCTAACCGTCTTCTGTGAGTAGGGAAAAAAAAATATATGTTATATTCTTAGAGATTTAGAACTCTGAAAGGCTTAACGAATGTGCAGCAGAATAAATGAAGATGCGTCACACTGAGTATTATTGCCAATGAAATTAACCGCATTTTCTTTCTCCGTTCTAGATGGTCCCCAAATAAATGATTCCAACTGTCCTCATGCATTGACCTGGAAGGAGGGAAGTACGACATCATTTGCCTGTTCAGCCCTGGGAAACCCCACACCAACTGTTCAGTGCTGGAAAGATGGGAGACCTTATAACATTGGGGAACCACAGCTGGTCCAGAGAGAGCATGGTGGCATTTATCACTGCAATGCTACCAACCAGTATGGCTTTGATGTTAGGGATGTAACCATACGCGTTGAATGTAAGTTCGCTTCTTGCTCTAAAGAACAAAAATAATCATAATTTGGGTTGTACCACTCAACCAGGGCTATGTTGAAGTTTATTTGTCACATGCAGGTTAGAAGTACAATCCAATACAATGTTACTTGACAAAGAAAGCAATAGGAGTTCTCATCTCAGCTCTTGGTATCACTTCCATCTATGACCTAATCCAGAAAGACTGATATTGTTTCTAATGGATATCTAAGGAAGCATCTACCATGAACTAGTGAAGAAATTCCCTTATGTGTGGACATTAACTGAGTTTCATGCACCCAAACAATACTTCAATATCTTTGAGTCACCATTTTCTTTTATCAATAAGAGTTTTACTGCTTTCTCAAAATATAAAATACAAAGAGAAATTCAAAAAGTAATGGAAAACTAGAAGACAGGGAAGGGAAAGAAAAAAAGATAGTGCTAAGAGGGAAAAGAAAAGAAAAAGGCACCAACTTCCAACTCTCCTTAGCACAGTACCAACATAACAATCACAACTTTTTACTTTTACACAACAATATGTACAGACCATTTCTATATTTAGCAAAAACAAAATCAAAGTTTCATTTTTCTTTTTCATTGCAAGCACAAAGTCTGGAAGCAATTTCAAAATAGAAACAAGATTAGATATATTCTCTTCTTTGGACAAAAGAATCAGTTTGACCATCTCTACTACTCTTTACTGTATTGACTCATTAATCATAATTCATATTAAGGGAATCCTCTATAATTTCAGGGGGGTTTTTTAACCTGAAAGGGAGAAAACACTTTTCCTGATTTGGATATTTTACTAACTATAAACAATACTCAAACATTATATGTAAAAGGGAAAATGAAACAAAACAAACAAACAACAACAACAAAAGAAACCCATTCATTTTAAACGTAGAGCCCAAGACACAAAACTAATTAAGGCTTTCACAACATTACATAAAAAAGAAAAAGTAAAACAGAAGACATACATTTAAATACATACAAACATTTGTAAATATATGAATTGTATGTATACATTTATATGCATTGTGTACATATAAAGCTATCCAAACCCTTTTTTTCAATACATATGTCAAAGCTTATATATATAAAAAAATCTATCATAACTAATTAAATCACTGTATTTAAGTCACTCCCTCCAGCTTATCTTCATAGAATGAAATCATTTTCTTCTCAAGTCTCTTTTCTTCAGGAAGTTCTCAGCCTTATTTATATCCATAAAAATGTCCCAAGATTGTTTTGTTATACATTATAGATTAACTTGGAGCAAATCCTCGTAGAATAAAGTTTCCATCTCTAAGATGGCTATCGTATCTTTTTTTTCCTCAAAGAATTCTCAACCTTGTTGATATCCATGAGGAAAAACTCCCAAACTTGACCTCATAAGAGCTGTGAATTTACTTGACACTCTTGTTTCAGTTGCACTGGGAGGATTATATTCAAACCATCATCATAATGGAAGCTGGTGTCAGATTTATATTCCTAAAATACAGTAAGGTTATTTGCGTTGTCCAGCATTTGTAGAGTTGACCCAGTGGGTTGATAGTTTTCTATAGTGGGTTGATAATCTTTTTAAATCTCCTCTGTATTATTAACATCTTGAAACCCTAGGTGATTTTTGGTATAATTAATTTTCTGTATGGATTTTTGGGAGATTTCTTTGATGACAGACTTCAGCTCAGAGTTAAACATCTTCCTGTTTAACTTCAGCTCCATCTAGTGGTCAAAGTGTAATTTCTTTATTTCCCCCCTCCCTTTTTTTTTCTTTTTCTGGCCAGTCAGAGTTCATCAAAATCAGATAAATTCCACCACTACCACCACACGATACAGGACTACAGATTATTTTAAAAGTAGTAAATTAAAAGCCACAACTTTTATCCTTATATTTAACAAAAAAAAGTACTCCATGCTTTCTTCTTTTGGCTGCCTCCAGCAACCCTCTTCCTTGTCGTTTAACAACAAAGGAGTTTCAAAGATGGCATATAGCTTCAAAAAGGAATGGTAAACTGTAACAAAAGAGAGCCTCTTTTACCTCATAAAGACAATAATCTCATAAACTGATTAAGAAATGAAAGGCACAGCTTATTGTCCATTTGAAAAATAAATTCCAAAACAGCTGTTTTATCCAACAACAACGTGATTCCGGCCCCACCCTCCCCAGCTTCATCTCACCATCTATTTTTGAGCAAGGTTTCTAAAAAAAAGCTTGCAGACATTTTCTGTTATCGGAGGATCTTGAGGGATGATTCTGGGACTCTCCCTAATCCAGGAGGTCAAATAAATGAAAGAAAGCCTGTTCCATCTGTTGTTAAGTTGCAAAGATGACAGTCCAAAGAGAAAGAGATTTTCTGAGTCACCATTTTCTGACCTAATGCCAAACAAATATGTTAGCTTTTGATTCTCATCCTCAGTGTCCCTGCCATTGGCTAGGGATTAAGAGAACATACAGCTAACATTTTAGGAAGGCATCCATTTGCAGATGGTTAACTTGGAGAGTGTGTATTTAGATGCACCAAAACATTCCCGATATATCTTCTAGAATTCAGAGGTGTAAAGCCAATTCAGAGTTTTTAACCCAGAACATTTCTTAAAACGTGAAGAATCTCAGCAAGGGACTAGGTTTTTGGAAGTTAAGTTTTTCTAATAGGAAACAGAGGGTAGTTTGGTTAAAGTACCAAGATAAAAATCAAGAGACTGTGAGTTAAAAAGCTGCTTTAAGCTCAAAGTCACCCTAGCAAGAAAGCAATAGCAAGCAACTTCTGAAAATCTTGCCATGAAATCTGCAGGGATTTCTCTAGGCCGTTGCCTGGAGTCAAAAACAACTTGAAGGCACACACAAAAACAGTAAACAGCAAGACAGGTTGAGATTCAGCAGAATCTTGAAACTATGGAAGAAGAGCAGGCTGACCGGGTAATTCTGGGAGTTAAAATCCACAAATCTTAAAGATCTGGAGAATTAAAAACACTGATTTACAGTACATTTTGCAATCTGTATATATTTTTTCTTAGCTATGAAAGCTAGAACACTCCCTTTTCAAAACAGACATGGTGTGTGTTTGTGTGTCAAGGGGGTGGGGGATGGGAAGTCCTAATATACTTGCAGCTCTCTGGAATGCTCAGTCATTTGATTTTCAGCTCTTTTGTGTTTTTGTTCCACAGCTTACCAGCCCAATATCTTTGCAATCATCATGGGAATCCTTGCATTTGCTGTGTTTTTTATTTTCTTGGGAGGAATAGTTTTTTACAACAATAGGAGGAATTTTAGGATATACCATCTCTGGAAACGACAGCAGCCACCAGCAGCAAGAACCTCAGAGTTGCTACCTTGCCTTGAATTGAACAACCGATGTCTAAATGAACGCTAGTTGCTACAAACTGTAGAGAAACGTAACCATACAGCAGGGGTATAGCTGCAGCAGAGATCATCACTTGATTTAACACTGAGGAAAAAGCCACAGAAAAGTATTCCTCAGTTCCCAATGCCTGCTGGAGACCATTTTCTTTGGACTTTGTCTTTGGGACTTTCAGATAGTGACTGGTGTCATGCATTACAAGGGCATTGCATTCCTCTGTTTTCTTAAGATCTCCCGACCAAGATGGTCTCCCAGCCTCACTATTCTGGTCTATGGCCTAAATTCAGTCGTTCAGTGGAAAACAGCACCAAGAAACAAGGAGGAAAACATCACTAGCAGCCTAAGGAGTTCCCATTGCAATGGATAGTTCTTTTTGTCTTCCAGTGTAAAACATCTGCTTGATTCCATGTCATATTGTTGTTTTGGCAGCAACATGCTATATATTATAGAAATAATGTCCATTTCTGGACATTTACACTTGCAAGCTTCTCATAACATAGATGACTAAAAATGGGGCTTATCAAATGACAAGTCCTGTATCAAATGTCAGGAAGCCAGAATTATTTTTTGTCTATTTCTTTGTTTTTCAGTTCTGGTACATGGACTTTTGATGATCTTGTTGAAAGTCCTCACATACCATTAATGTGAGTCAGCTTATAGTAAACAGTATCAGGCTGAACACAAGAAGATTATTTGGGTTTTGGAAAGGACTACAGTGAAAAGCCAATGACCTGCAACTTCTTCATAACTCAGCTAATCTTTTTTTTTTAACAGTTGTATTTTATTATGGGGAGAATAAAACAAATGCCTAAATTAGTTAGTTAGTTAGTTAGTTAGTTAGTTATTGGCTGGCCATGTTACATCAAGGTAATTCTGGACAGCTCACAATCATAAAAATTATATGTAGATGTAGATGTGTATACACAACATATACATATGCATACATATATACACATACACATAGACATGTACATATGAATATACTTATACACCTATTCCTTGCCCCAGATCCTGCCCACCTAACAGTTCAAAAGCATGCAAGTGCAAGTAGAGGAATAGTTACCACTTCAGTGGGAAGGTAACAGTGTTCTGTGCACCTTTGGCATGGAGCCATGCTGGTCACATGACCATGGAAAATGTCTTCGGACAACCTGGCTCCCTCAGCCAAGAAACTGAGATGAGCACCATCCCTAGAGTTGGACACGAGTAACAGGGAAACCTTTACCTTTTATATATTAAAAACACAATTAGTACCTGCAATCAGTATGATCCATTTACAGATGGAGAGGGCAGGGGCAGGATGGGTGGAGGTGGGATTCATTGTTAATCGATCAACCACCTCCACTGTGATGTTCCCCCATTGGGGTTTCAAGCTAACTGGCAGAGGTCTTTAGGCCCTTATGAAAGGTCAGGAGGGTTGGGGGTTGACCTCACATTGGGGGGAAAGACATTCCAGAGGACAGGTGCAATGGCAAAGAAGGCCCTTCTCCTGGACCTCACCAACCAGAATAATAAGGCTGATGAGGTCTGTAACATGCCAGCACAGGTGGAACAGGCCAATCCCAGCAGGATGCAATCATCCATCAATCAGTCTAGATCTATGCCATGAAGGACTTTAAAGATGATTAACAACACCTTGAATTGCACCCAGAAGCAGTCTGGCAGCCAATGCAGCTCACGGAGCAGAGATGTTACAAGGGCCATTCTTCAGGCCCCAAAAACTGCCTGTGCTGTTGCACTCTGCACCAGCTGTAGCTTCCAAATGCTCTTCAAGAGTAACCCCATGTAGACCCCATTGCAGTAGTCCATATAAGAGATGACTAGAGCCTGAATGACTGAGCGCAAGGACTCCTGATCCAGGAAAGGCCGCAACTGATGCAATAGTTACATAAATTTCAATGCTATTCAATTCCCTTTCTTCTCTAGAATAAGTGCAGAACCCTGATCTAGCTTCATTCATTTGCATGACAGTAAGTAAAGAAACACACTTTGGGTGTAGCATACTTTAATGCCCGGATGATTCAATATATTTAATTTTACTCAGAAGCTTGTCTCTTCTTTGAAATAAACATAAAACAGAGTAAAACGTACTTTCTTCCTCATTACTATTCTATTTGAAAATCTGCCAGCGCCATCTACTATTGAATAGCAGGGCAATACCTGAATTTAAAATGATGGAGAAAATTAAAAACAGTTTAATAGCTACTTGATTGGATTTGGATAAGGCTATCCTACAGCAGCAGGAGTGCAAAAATTCAGAAAGAAAAGAAAAGAAAAAAGAGTGTAAACCTAGCCCCAAATAGGAGGCAGGAAGGGGATGATGTGGGGATCTAATACGAATCTAGAGGTAATCCATCTTTTGGATCTGGAAAAGTATGGCAAGTTCTGTATTCTTTCATAAGATAGTATTAAAAACTCACAACTGACTATGTTTAAAGTAAAAACACCCAACTGTGAGCTAAATGAAAAAATATCAAACTCGTAGGCAAGGTCGGGAATATTAAAATTGATAGTAGCTGTAAAAGCCTACACCACCATACTGTATTTTTATCTCTTTTAATTTAATTTCTGTTACATTAATAGAAATTAATGCTGAAGATTTTTAAATAACAATCCCTTCTTTTAAGTGAACATAACATTGCTGTTTGGGGATAATGCAGTAAAATTGTAGTAATTTTTTTTTCTGTGTGTAATGATACACCAAATCTCAAAGAATCTAATTCTGTGTAATAAATGCACCTTGCCTATTATGTGTATAAATGAATGATTCTTATTGTTGTCTTCAGCTAAGAGAGCCCAAGGCCAGGTTGTCCCATGTATGAGAAGGTCACATATGGCAGGGGTGTGTGAACTTCAACATGCTCACGATGGTCTACAAATCCTGAGTCTGATGCAACCACAAGAGTTTGGGAAGTCACAGCTATATCTGCAATTTCAGGGACTGTACAGATGACAATTACATTTGACCAGAGCAACAGAGGAAGGCTTAAAAGACAAATGGCCAATCAATAAGAACTGCTCACTCCCAAAGAAGCCTCACAGAGGGCAGTTCCACACTGCAGTGCAAGTTGCTTATCTCTCATCTCTCTTGATTGTTTCTCCAGCCAATTTCGGAAATTCTTTTCCAAATTGCAGCAACTTGGCAAAGGACCCAGGATGATGCTCACTCTGGACTCCTGGCATCCCATGGTTTGATTGGTCATTCCCTGCCTGTTCCCCTTCCCAGCCATGCAGGGAAAGCAAATTTCACTGACTAGCTCTGGTGGAGTTGGATCTACCAATACCTGCCTTTCCTGTTAGGGATTGTTCCCTTCTCACTCATTCCCTCTCTTTTGCCTTCCTTTCCCAAAAGTTTATACATCTGGGTGCCTTCATCCCTCCTTTGGTGCTAGTGTATAGCTTTCATTTTTTTCCTCCCCCCCCTCTCCCCCCATGGTATCATTGCAATTCCAGCAATACAATAATGAATGTGGTGGGGTTTTTCTTTCTTTCCCATTTCCTTCATAGGCCCATGGAAAATCTGATGCAAGGAAGAACTGGATAGTTCAGTTTCACAGGAACAAAGCAGCAGTTATCTTACCTGATCACTTGAAGATGTTGTCAGAAACAAAAGAAAGGGAAGGGAAAGCAAAGGGCATAGACTTCATCCAGACTGGGCACAAATCCAAAGAGTGCCCACTGGGAAATGTCAGGGTTGAATGGAGTAATAAAATCCTAGCATTGAGGATGGTCATTGGTTTATAAACTTAACAGACCACCATTGGGCTAAGCAGATTATTTAAAGAAAAGCAATTGCCAATTGGCAAACTACATAGCAGCCAGACTGCCCAGGAGTAAAGCTGCTGCCCAAGCAGAACAAAGCACAGGACACCATCCCCCAGTGTGAGGGCTTAAGACGACTCAGATCAGAAAACAGTAATTGCCCTTTTTGAACTGAAGTTGGGAAGAAAATGGTGTGGGGTATATTTGCAAAAGGATGGGAGTAGGAGTAGGAGAACAACGTCATCTGTTCCTACATTCAAGAAGGGGCAAGTAGCATGTATTGCTGATGGGCCAAGAAGTAGGTGCAGTTCTAACCAGGATTACTGATAGAGGAAAAGGCAGGTAAGGTGTAGGAACATTGGCAACTGGATATCTTTGTATAGGTAGTCTTCGACTTACAACAGTTTATGTAGTGACCGTTCAAAGTTACCACAGCACTGTAAAATATGACTTATGACTGTTTTCCATAGTTACAATCTTTGCAGCATCCCCATGGTCATGTGTCAAATGAACCAGATGCTTAGCAACTGGTTCATATTTATGACCTTTGCTATGTCCTGGGGTCATGTGATCACCTTTTGCAAACTTGTGAGAGGCAAAGTCAATGGGGAAGCCAGATTCACTTAACAACCAGGTTACTAACTTATCAACTGCAGTGATTCACTTAACAACTATGGGAAGAAATGTTGTAAAATGGGGCAAAACTCACAATAAATGTCTCACTTCACAAGAGAAATTTTGGGCTCAATTGTGGTCATAAGTTGAGGACTACCTGTATCGCCTTTATATCTTAGTTTGTTAGGAGAGGGATTCCTTGACCCTCTTGATGATGATGATGATATCCATTTCTTGATGGCAGTGGGGAGCTGGTTACATGAAACCTTGATTTCATGATCAAGGAGAAATGTGGAGATCTTGTGCTGTTTGGCAAACTACCATCCTATTTTTCAGGATCTGAGAATTCCTTTATAGTTTGGTGAGGTGGTTAAGGTGCTGGCCTAAAAACCAGGAGACTGTGAGTTCTAGTCTCTCCTTAGGCCTGAAAGCCAACTCGATAAGTTTGAGTCAGTTATTCTTTCTCAGCCCAACTCACCTCACAGGATTGCTATTAAATAATAATAATAAAATAATAAACTACCAGGTCCCACACACATAATCCCCAAACACACTCCCACCCACCCCTAAAACCACCCAAACATCCACCCAACAGACCAAGTAATACTGTCCAACAGTTCACTGATGGTGGCTCTTTAGTTCATTATTGAGTGCAATTACAGCTCTGGGATAAAAACTATTCAGAAAACATGTGGTCCGAGTTTTAATTGTTCTGTATCTTCTGCCAGAAGGCAACCGTCCAAAAAGATTGTAAGCAGGATGGGAAGAGTCTCTGAGAATGTTATGCAACTTCCTCAAACAGCAAGATTCAAAGATGTTGTCCAGGGCTGGTAGCTGGAGTCCAATAATATTCTGGGCAGTTTTAATAATTCTCTGTAGAGCTTTTTTGTCCACTACAGAGCTGCTCCCATACCATGGAAGAATGCCGTATGTCAGGACACTCTCAATGGTGCTGTGATAGTAAGACAGAAGTAGATGCTGAGATAGATTTATCTTCCTGAGCATTCTCAGGAAATACAGCCTCTTCTGTGCCTTCTTCACAAGCATGTTAGCATTCATAGTCCATGAGAGGTCCTCCGAGATATAAGTGCCCAGAATTTAAAACTACCCACTCTCTTCACCTCCTCACCATTTATGTACAGTGGTTATGGGGAAAATAAGAGAAAGAAGGAGCATTAGTTAAGTTTGTTGCCTTGAATTACTTATAAAAATAATAAATATGGGATATAAAATTAATAAATAAACCAACGATGAACCATTGGAAAGAGGAGTTTCTTTGATTTCATTTAGTCTTCATTAGCCATCTTAATAGATCAGTGGAGTCAGATTAGCTGTACTGAGAAACCTCCATAAATTGTTGCTGAAGTAATTTCATATATAATGTATGTATCTATGTATTAAAATTTTTCAATATTGTAAAAATGAGCAAAGATGCAAAAAAAGAGCATAAAGAAATGAGAAAAAAATGTACAATTATATTTTTATACTCTTCTTTATTGATGATAATCTTAAACATCCTCTCTGTGCCTTTTTAATCCCCAAATTGTTGTCATCTTAATGAATTCTAAGCTTGGAGTTTTCTGGTATCTTATAAGAAAACTGTTTTCCAGAAACTAATGCTCTACATTAGAATGTACTTTCTGATTGCCTTTGTAGCACAGCAAGTGGTGGATTTAACTTTCCTTCTTCAATCTGAGCATAGTTGAAACTGTTGGTTATGGGATCTAGACTTCTTCCACTGCAAAGAGGACTGGATTGGGCACCTTTGGCTGAGGGCAAAAGTACCAACTGACAGACATAACTCTTGAATGAGCTGCAAAGACTTTAGAGGCTGTAGTGTGCATCCCACCCTTCCCTTCCCTTCCCTTCCCTTGAAAAGATGCTATTGATTTCCATGGAAGAGATAGACCTGCCAATACTTGAAAGAAAATACCTTTTTTCAATGAGAGTTACTCCCCAGAAAATGTTGCTGTTACAAAATATATAATTAATAATAAAATATGTGCTATTAAGAGTATAATAATAATAGAATTGGAAGTTCTTCTAATCCAACCCCCTGCTCAGGCAGGAAACCCTATACCAGGGGTCTTCAGACTTGGCCCTTTTATGATTTTTGGACTTCAACTCCCAGAATTCCTTAGCCAGGTTGTCCAGTCTCTTCTTTAAAACTTCCAGTGTTAGAGCATTCACCGCTTCTGGAGGAAGGTTGTTCCACTGATTAATTCTTCTAACTGTCAGGAAATTCTAGGTTACTTCTCTCCTTGAACAGTTTCCATCCATTGCTTTTTGTCCTGCCTTCAGGTGCTCTGGAGAATAGCTTGACTCCCTCTTCTTTGTGGCAGCCCCTGAGATATTGGAACACTGCTATCATGCCCCCCCCCCATCTGTCTCTTCATTAAACTAGACATACCCAATTCCAGCAACCATTCCTTATATGTTTTAGCCTCCAGTCTCCTAATCATCTTTGTTGCTCTTCTCTGTACTCTTTCTAGAGTCTCAACATCTTTTTTACATCGTGGTGACCAAAACTGGAGGCAGTATTCCAAGTGTGGCCTTACCAAGGCCTTGTAAAGTGCTATTAATACTTCACTTGATTCTATCCCTCAGTTAATGCAGCCTAAGACTCTTGACTTTTTTGGCAGCTGCAGCACACTGTTGGCTCATATTTAAGTGATTGTCCACTAGGACTCCAAGATATCCCTCTCACAGTTGCTACTATTGAGCAAGGCACCACCTAAGTAGTGTTAACTCTGATTGGTTAACGCCCAGAGTTTGTTATTAATGCAAAGAGCTTCTCCTTCAGAGTCGTCTTTCTAGGAACTCAAAAGTTGGAAGCCTTATCTTCTCCTAGCAGGAAGAAGTTTTGCCTGCCTGACTTTTACTACCACTAGCAACAGAAACCTCCTGGGCCACTGATTGCAGAAGGCTTGTAGCAAGACAACAGCACCAACCACACGGAGACCACTTTGTCTTCCTCAGGTGCTCTTCCTCCTTTGAGCCACTTCTACCACCAGTGCATGTAAGTGATAAAACCTCCTGAATCTCTTTATCATTTCAATATGGGGAGAACACAAAAACCTTCACTTCACAGGGAATCAGCCAAATGGATCTAAACAGGCAAAGGGGTGGAGAATAGACTATGGGAGCAAAGTAGAAAGATGCTTTGGATAGACTTGTTTTTTTCAAGCTTCTTTCACTTCAGAAGGCTTTGATGAGGAGAAAATAAAGTTGTCCTGAATTTCTTGTCACAAGGCAAGGAAGAAAAAGGGGAGACGTGTAAGAAGAAAAAGCAGCTCTAGAAGATGTAAGAAAACCCAAGAAGCCCTTGGAGCAGGGGTTGCAAATAGATTTTCGGGGGGGGGGGGAACCTA